GATATATATTGTGGGAGAAATACATACCATGCCACTAAACTTTGACAATTGGGGGAAGGATACCACTAAACTAAATTTAGTGAACCTGATACCATGTAAGTCCACTAAATGTGCATTTTTTGTTTTCCGTCCGTTAAACTAACAGAGGGAAAAAAAGACGCCAAATCAGCAAAAAAACTCGCCACGTAGACGGTTGAGTCATCTAATTATTTTCCCTATCTATACGCAAAAAAAGGAAAAAAGAAACCATCTTAAAACCCTTCTCCCAAAATAGTGAAAATACGTCCCATTCCACTCCCTTCATCTTCCTCTCGTAAACCGCCGACCCTTATCGGCAAAGAACAAACAATAGAAACGACGACAAGGGTTGTGGAGCCTACAATTACTTTCCACCAAATAAGGTTTCAATTATGAGAGTGCCCACCTATCTTGATTCTCTACCGTTGTATGGTAAGGGTTCTTTATTTTCCAACTTCATATTGTTTTTTAATTTAAGTTTGAATTGAGATCTAGGATGAAGTGATGGAGGTAAGTGGCCTCTGTTTCGTGGTGCATATGTAAGTGTAAGGGTTGCATCTTGCATGAATGGTAGAAAGAATGGGTTTAATATTTGGTTTCTTTCTTTGCTTGTGTAAGCTTAGTGGTCCCTACTTTTGTTGGTTTATAAATTTATGTAGGGTATCAGACCCCTTTCCAAGCTTTTTGTTTGTTGGTGTTCTAATAAAATATATATAAGTACTTCCATGTTGCCTAATAAAAACTTCTGTGTGCATCCCCTGTTTAGCTTATCGTTGGTCTCTGTGTCTTCCTTTTGTTTAGTTATAATAATATACTTTGAATAAACGAAAAAGAAATTGAAGGCTGAAATATAAATTGTTATATATGTACTATTTCAGGAGAAGTTGAATCTGAAACAGAAAGTAGATTCGAAGATGACGAAAATGAAGTTAGTGATGGCGACTTTGATTTGGAAGACTTTGAAGGTAGAGGGGGAAAAATAATTTGATCATTGATGATAAAATTGGTGGAGATGCAAACACAAATTGCGGCGATTCGGATGACATGGGAATCTCCTACTCAAGTGATGAAGAAAGTTATACTAGAAATAGGTTTGAAGAGTTTAATCCGGCAAGGGATATGGAACATCCACAATTCTCCGTGGGACAAATTTTTAGGGACTTGAAGACTTTCAAAGAGGCTATCAGAGTTTACTCAATAAAAAACAAGTTCCCTTTGAGATTTGCGCATAGTGAGTAGTGACCCAACAAGAGTTCAAGTTTTATGCGACAAGAATTGCGATTGGAACATTTGGGCGTCACCTTCGGCAGATGGGAGGAAAGTTCACATTAAGACAGCCTACTTGGAACATAATGGATATGTTCTCGTATCTCGACACAAGTGGTTTGCTTACAAATTCATTGCCAAGAAGTACATGCTTAGGTTTGAAATTGACCCTAAATGGGGGAATGATTCGATAATGCAAACAGTTGAAGAAGACTTTCATTATACTGTGTCAAGATGGATAGCAAGAAGGGCTCGTGAGTATGCGGTTGATTTGATTCGAGGAAAGACAGAAGATCAGTATGCACGACTTCATGACTACTGTGCGGAGGTGCATCGAACCATCCGGGTTCGACTATATTTGTGGAGACCGAGGAGAACGTTTTTTTGAGAATGTATTGTTGTTTGGCTGCTTGTAAAGAAGGGTTCGCAGCCGGTTGTAGGAAGATCATCTTCCTCGACGGTTGGTTCTTGAAGACACTTTATGGAGGGCAACTTCTTTCCGCTGTTGGTATTGATGCCAATGATGGAATTTTTCCTATAGCTTATGCTATGGTGGGGGTAGAGAATCAAGAAAATTGTACATGGTTTTTGGCTCATGTACTCCAAGACTTAAATGTTCCTGAAGTTTCTGACGAGTGGACATTCATGAGCGATAAACAAAAGGTAATCACCAATTTTGATGAGTGAACTGGACATGGTTTTTAGTTTGTTTTTCTATTTTTTGTTGTTATAATAATGATTGTGGACTTTTTTGTTTCTGTCATGCGAAGGATGATTTAATGCATTAGTTTTGTAAGCCTTGAAGTTAAAATATAATAATGGCTTTATATCTCTTCGTTTAATGTAAAAATCTGATTTATGAACTAGTTTTATTTCTTTGCATTTGTTAATGCTATCTATGAAAAATAGCTTTATTTCTCTACGTGTCATTGATTTATTACAAAATCTGATTTAGACTTTTATTAAATTGATGCAGGGTTTGGTCAATGCTCTTTTACAACTAGTACCATATGCAGAGCATCGATTTTGTGTTAGACACCTTTGGTCCAACCTATAACGAGCTCAATCAGGTACCAAAACCACGAAATACATGTTATGGGCAATTGTTAGGTCTTCATATGAGGCTTAGTTCAAAAGAACTATCAGTGAACTTAGGGAGTATAATGAGAATGCATGCGAGTGGTTGTTAGAAAAACCTTTGAATCAGTGGTGTCGAGCATACTTCCAGACTAATTGCAAGACCGATGTGTTGCTGAATAACCACTGTGAATCCTGGAATAGGTCCCTATTAGGTGTTAGAATCAAACCAATCATTAGTATGTTTGAGACTATAAGATGTTAGCTTATGGTTAGGTTTGCAAAGAAAAAGACATTTGCTGAGAATAATTTCAAAGGACAATTCTGCCCAAAGATTGTGAAGAAGATAAATGCAGCTAAAGAGGGTAGCTTCGGCTATAGAGCCCTACCCAATGGTGCTAACACATTTCAGGTTTGATGTCTTGATGGGCAAGTGGTAGTAGACTTGAACAAGCGTAGCTGCACAAGTAGAAAATGGGAGTTGACGGGAATACCATGTGCTGTTTGCTGCATATTTTCAAAGAAGGAGAAGGTTGAACCTTATGTGGATAAGTGTTATGAGGTGGCCACCTATGTTAATATTTATAACTACACATTGGCATCTATGGTTGGGCCCGAATCATGGAGAGATAGCCACCAAGACCCTGTAATACCACCATATGTTAGCATTGATGCTAAGACAACAAGGGGGAGACGTAGGATGAATAGGAGAAAAGGCCCGAAGGAGATATTGGAAGACTCACAAAAGCGAGCAAGAAAACAGAAGCCCAAAAATCAAAGAATGAACAAGAAAAAAGAAAAAATCCATTGCAGTCAATGCGGTGAAGAGGGTCATAACAAAAGTACCCATCGTGTTGCAAACGAACTAGCTGGAGTTGGAATCATTGGAGGGTCACAATCAGTAGCAATGGCACCCTACATAGCTGATGTTTGGTATTCTGGAGAAGAAATCAATATATCTGAAGGACGACACTCGAATTTAGCTGAAATGGAAGCACACTTGCTTACTCCTTTTGAAACATCTGAAGCTGAAAGTATTAACAATCCTCCACCAAGATTCACAGTAAGTTTAATTTTAAGCTTTCTTTTCAATAAATGAAATTGATTTGCGGTGTATATTTCTCTTTCTCTTTGATTTTCTCTCAAATATCTATAATGAATGTGGTTTTCACAAGGAGCTAGCCAAATGTTGGCTGTATGTTAAGTTTAAAGGTTACTCCTTTTGTATTTGCATAACTTTACCGTATATGTTGTGGTTTTGGTTTGTGTAGGGAATTAACCAAAACCATCCCTCGACACAACCTGCTTCTGGTATGAATCAACTCCATACTGAGCAAACAAGTAATGTTGTCTCCTCAGCACCAACTAATTTGGGGTTTCGGGTATACAAATTCAGCTTGTAACTAATTTTCTTTTCAAGTAATAACCATGTATGATATTTGTAATAACAACTTCATTGTTCTGTTTCCCCAATTCCTCTTCAGGTCCATCAAGGAGAAAGAGTATAGGCTATAGACCAGGAAATGGAAGGAAACCTTTTGTACCTAGAAGAGGAACCTCAAGTGGAGGGGGGAGCAGCCATCGTTAAAGGAAAGGAGAATGAGGAATAGAAGCTTATGATATTTGCTTTTATAGACTATTTCTTAGTTTGTAGGTTAGTTGGTGTTTTTACCCCTGGAGCCACTAATTATGAGAGTACAGTTTGAATTAGTAGTCAAGGGATTTGGCTTGAGCTAGAATTTCAACAAGCTTTTTATTGATATTTTGCGTAACCACATTACAGATTGCTTCATGACTTGGTGTAAGCATTTTATCAGTATTATGCAAAGTTAAATTGTAAATGTGTCATTAGTTTGCTTTAATGGGAATGAACAAGCACACTGGAAAAAGCCATTGAAGTTCTGATGGCTAGGAAACAAAAATCAAGTGTGGACAAAGCTAGTGGAGAAAGCTAGAAAAGATATGTTTTGCGTGCTAAGAAATAAAATGGGCTGGGATTTGATAGGGCTCGACACTAGAAAAAATTCTTTTGTTAGTAAACATTCCACCAACTCAGCAGTCTAGGTGGCGTGTTGTATGCTGATTTGGCTTTGTATGCTGATTTGGCTTCCTTTTTTTTTCTCTGTTAGTTTAACGGACGAAAAACAAAAAAGTGCACATTTAGTGGACATACATGGTATCTGGTGACTAAATTTAGTTTAGTAGTATTCTTATGGCTGTATTTCTCCACTAGCTTTGTCCCTATATATGGCTGTATTGGTATGGAAGGAGTAAGTTGAAATAATAAACCTCCCATTTATGGTTCTATTTCGATCAACACATCCACAATTCTATTATTGGACTACAGTTTTCGAGGACTTGCCCTGGGCCGCCTCTTTGGCTGGATGCGGTTCTACGATGAATTTCTATAAGAACACAAGGGGGGGAAAATGTGAAAAGACCGATAGGTTTAGAATATGCGAGCCCGAAAAGCCGACAGCAATTCTAAGTACCAACTTACACATTACTAAAGTAATGGTGTTGTCTTATTTCTGGAACAAAATTCTAAGTACCAACTTAGACTGTACTAAAGTAATGGTATTGTCTTATTTCTGGAACAAAATACATGCATCTAATCAACTGGCAAAACAGCGCATTGACTAGGGAACCCCTTGATGATTAATCGTATCCGTAGCGGTTCCAGCTCCAGCGACGTCGTACTGGCGAGTCCCCGCCGCACCGGACGGAGTGGGAGCATCCGTTGCGCCGGCGCCGCGGCCGGGTTCTGGTTGGAGATGGCCTTCAGCTCCATAACCTTTGAGCTTATAGTCGTCAAGGTCGTCGTAGTTCACATAAGGGCTGCTCTCCAGCGGCAGATCGAACTCATCTGATTTGCTCTCCTTTTTGTCCACCCCGCGACTCCGATCGGCGTTCTTCTCTTCCGGCGGCGAAACTTCCTGTTTTTTCTCCATTTTTAATCTGTGGAGTTGATATTTGGGAAATCTGATCTACTGCTTGTATATTTATATACACACGGTTGAGTGGACACGTGTAGCGTCTGTGATTGATGACATCCGGCCGGGAGAGAGATGTCAATGTAACGTGTCGAGCTTGTAGGTTTCAGAAGTCTTATACGTGTCGTTCTGCGGGATAATGGATATATACATGATCCTGCATGCATCTTTATTTCTTTGGGTAAGAGATCTGAATGGCACATCCTATACCTTCGACGCTAAGTTATTCATAAAAATAAAAAATAAAAAACCTTCAACGCGAAGTCTATTTGAGAACCGGTTGTCGAAATTATCTGGCGCTGATTTTTTAATGAAGGATCGTTAATTAATCAAATACGGGTAGTGTTTTTTGTTAGATTTGTGTTTTGAATTTGAGAATCAAATCATATTAAATTAAGGATTTTGATCAAAATTTATTGTTTGTTTGTTTAAGAGGAGTGTATCGGCTGAGAACCTAAACAACTAAACAAAATATATATTTTTTTCTATTTATAACCCAGGAATATAAGCAATCACATGCCACATGAGTGAGAGCGGGGCCTACTAAATCTGAGGTACTTGCATATTAACCATCAAGAACTTTGTCCCGGCGCAGTGCCCGACGTTGTGCTATCGTTATCAGGAAGACTTCGTCTGCTGTACCAAGGGTGCCTCCGAGAAAACCGAGAAGGTGGTACTGGGATTCAAACCTGCGACCTTGTCACATCCCAAACTAAAAAATCCAGCCCTTTTACCAACTAGGCTATCTTACCATTGACCTAAACAATACATTTTGAGCCATGCCCATAAAACAAACTTTAGATACTCGGCTGAAGATCAAAAATAGATCTAGCGAGAGTCCAAACCAAACACGAATTCTATTTTTGTATAAAGACCCTTAAACCTTCCGAAAGAGGTTTTTTTCCTCTCTTCTTTCCCTAACAAAATGGCATATATCAACTTAACACTCTCCATTCTACAACATTTCAACAATATTTCAATTCTCCGTTACACCCAAGACTCGAATAAAATAAACTCGAATAAGAGTTTTGATAAACTATACATACACATAAAATTTATGTGATTTTCTTAGCTAGTGTTGTTGGGACTAGTCCACGGAGAAATCGCCTCTTAGAGTCTGTGTACATAATACATTAACTTCAACACCTTCTCTTAAATTGAGGAGTTGTCAAAACGTCTATTTGTGAGCTAGTAATGACACGCCTTATATACAACTTTGGTCAATAAGGCTGCCGTCTTGCCTTCTGAAGTGATGTAAGCAAGCTCACTAAGGCCCTCTGCTACCAACTGCCGAATATGATGAATGTGAACCTCAATGCCAAGACTCCATGGAAGACTTGGCCATGCGATCATATTTCTTACAATGCCAAGATACAAATGAAGAGCCCAACTTAATGCACCAACCACATGTGAAATGTCGAGTATCCTAACATCCATCATCAACGTATGCTTCAAGGGTAGACATCCCGAGGGCGGGAAAGAAAAGACCGACAGTGTGGGTGCCATGTAATTAAGTATCGCAAAATTCAATGAACAATAGTGAGGTGAGAGGTGCGTGGAGCCGTCATGAATTGGCTAACAACTTGAACTTCATAGGAAATATCAGGTTTAATGTGAGTCAAATATACGAGACTCCCGATGATACTGGGATATTATGATAAGCTCCCCAGCAGATTGTCACAGCCTGAGATTTTGTTTCATATTTGTGGAATAAGGAACACACTCCTCCATGTGAGTTGACTCTAGCAAATCAACAATATACTTGTGCTGACAAAGCATCAAATCCGCGGGACTACGATGAACTCCAAGACAAAGAAAGATGAACTGGTGGAACTGATTCGGGTCCAATTGTACACATTTTTTTCCCTCATATCTTGATCGTTTGGTTTTGCATTTCATCGTACCTCAACATATTTCACTCTAGGTTGTGCTTGTTTTGATACATTTCAGATCTTAGCACACGTGGAAGGGTCGAGGACGAGTTTTGGGACGATGGGAGGTCGAAAAGTGCACAAAGACCTAAGAAAATTCCAAAGACTATGACAATTGCCCCATAACAGTGAAGCACAGGCGTCCATGAAGTAGCCGCAATTCACGGTCCAACATTGGAGTTCACGCTCTCCTAAGACTATGAAGTGGAACCACAAATCGTGAACAGCGAGGCATCCAGTGAGGTTTTAGAGGTTACTGACGACCAGGCAGTTCACGATCTCTAAGACCGTGAACTTTGAGTGCAAACCGTGAACCCTGGAGAGTGAAGCGGTGCGTTTTGGAGACAACACTAAGTTCATGGAAGCGTTAAGGTGTTCCCGGCCGTGAACAGAAGCTGTGAACTGGGCTCGACCTGGGTGTAAAAACAGCAGTAGAAGGAAGAAGGAGGAGAGTTGGTTGAAGGAGAAGGAACACTTTCTTTCTCTAGCGTTTCAACCCAAAATACCGAAGCGGAGTTCTAGTGAGAGAGTGATATTGGAGCTTAATTGAAGGCATTGATCAAGCTTGGAAGCTAGGAATCAAGCCTAGAAGCAGAAGATGAAGATGTAGAGGTTTCTTTGTAATCTCTCCCCTCTCTTTCTAGAAACTCACCCTCTTCTCATCCCTAGTTTTAGATTAGGGTTTAATGTTGGTGTATGTGACAAACTCCATGATCGATTGATGATTTTACTTAATTGATGGATGTTTTTATGAATGACATGAATTGGGTTTCCATTTTCATGTATTGAGCTTTTGACCTAGGAGGGAGATAATCCCCTTAGAGCCCCCATTTTTGGCGTCTTCGGGTCACTCCTATCATATATTGTCTGGTTAGTCCATGAGGGAGTTGATTCGACCGGTCTCATAGCATTATACAAAACCCTAGGTTGAATAGACCACTACCCATCCGTCAATTCGTCGTTCCGGGTCATTCCCGAGGGAGTCCATCTCCAAACGGTAGTGTATTTGAGTCGACCGAGCTAGGAGGATACCCAACATCGATCCAAAGAAAGAATCTAGGACGATTCAACACAAGAGAGCTCCCAACCTTGTAAATATCTAGGTTAGTTAGTTTAATTCTATCAATCACTATCCTAGATTGGCTAGATAACGAACCCTAAACCTGAAGTAGGGTAAGCCTAGATCCCCGTGGTACGATAAATTCTTATTGCTTGTGCTACATCCGGTCGGCGGTTATGCATGGCCGTCAATCGGGATGTTGTAGTTAGAACGAGTCAAGAACTAGAGGAATGAGGTGTAGAACTGGGTGAGTTAGTTGAGTCCAAGGAGGAGGTGCTAGACAAAGAGAGATCAACAATTGTAGATGATCTTGAGGAGCTCGACGACTATGATTGTTTTGTCAAGAAAGAGTCATCATCACCATCAGTAGGAGGCTACATAGAAGCGAGTCGAAAAGAAGGAAGAGACACTAGAGAGTCGAGGTAGGGTGGATCTTGGGAGGGGTCGAGCCATCGTACATGAGATTCTCGAAAAAGACAACGTGATAAGAGATACAAACACGTTTGCAACATCGTAACAAATGTATCCCTTGAGTTTATCACTATCACCAATAAAAATACACATAACCTTTGGTATGAGCTTAGTTCTCTTAGCCAAACATGCACATCCAATTGTAGTTAGGTAGCTTAAAGTAAAGGACTTGAAATTGGGTGTATTGTTATGAACAACGATGATTTTTCTATTGATTAGATAAACTACAGTTTGCAAAACCTCCACCCAAAACCAAGATGGCACATGAGAATGAAAAAGATAGCGCGAACAAGCTCCAAACAAGACTACTAAGTAAGAATGCCGAACAAGACTACTGAGTGATAATGATTTTTCTACTAATCCATTCTATTGCGAGACTCCCGAACAAGACTACTGAGTAAGAAGACCAAGTTTTTTAAAGAGTTCCTACAGAGGATTGGAGGTAAACTCACCACCAGGGTCAGATCTCACTACCTTGACTAGTTTCCTAAATTGTGTGTGTATCAATAGAAGAAACTCCTTAGCTACAAAAATAAGAGGTCCAATTTCTTATGCAAGAAATATCAAGCCCGTCTAATGGATCGTGAAGTCCCTGTTTAAAATGTGAGATGTGGTTCAAATCAAATTTTCAGTAATAAAATTAAAATATTTATATCATCATTAATTGAAATGTGATATCTTTCTAACATTGTTGAAAAAAAATTTATCTATTATCTCTCTAATCTTCATGAGATCATTTTCAACTGTTCTCATGCTATTCAATTAAGATTTTATTGTATTATTTTATAATACAACTAGGATCTTCGTAACACGAATAATACTTTAACAATCAATATATGTGACTATTGTATATATACATGAGACTATTAATCAATAACTAACACTAATATTAATTAATATAATTAAAATTATCATCATAGTCATAATCAATTAATATACTACACAAACACAACCTACACTATATTATTGGATTAACTTACGAATTCAGGTGGAGGCCCCCTAATATTTGGAAGTCTTATGTCGAAGGGAGTCTCGCTTACCCTGTTAGCCGCCCCTAAGAAATAAACCCATGCATACTATGTGGCATTATCAATGAACAGGGCAAAATACCAGAATCCCATGTGAAAGGTGAATGATGAAGGTCCCCAAAGATCTGTATGAGCCAAGTTGAAAGGATCCGAATAAATCATCGAGCTGGATGCAAATGAGTTCTTAGTTATCTTAGCTAGTATACAATGCACACAATCATGCCCAAGATTCGAAATAACAAGGCTAGAAAGCAATTTATTCTTAAACATATGCAAAATTCTTGATGAGTTTGAGTTAGGGGTGGGCAAACGGTTCGGTAAACCCAAACCGAACCAAACCGAAACCGAATTAAACCGAACCGAAACGGAAATAATGTTATTCGGTTCGGAATTTGGAAGGAAAATATGGATATTTCGGAAACCAGGGTTCTTTCAACCGAACCGAAATTCCGAAATTCCGACCGAAAA